CAGGCCCCGACCTACCATATCAGGCCCCACGTATATTAAGCTAGGTTTCCCGTAATTCACTTACATTTCGATTTTGTTTCTTTAAAAGTAATAGCCGTTTTCACAAAAGAGGCGGGTTAACTATCCTCCTTGACGGATAAAGGCAGACAGTTAAGGTCAGACAGATTATTAGTCCCAAATTTAATTTAAGTAACCGTTCCGTTTTCACATCAAGACAAATTATTTGTCTGACGCCATTTATCCGAATCATCTGCTCGTCTGTCGTGTGAGCGGCCAATAATAATGTCGAGAATAACAGGGAAATTTTAAAACGTGTTATTATTTTGTTAATAATTGCGGAAATATTGTACCCAAATGTTTAATATTAACAATCTAACTTTCATTGCTTGTAGCAACATATACAGAGTGTCGGGTAAGGACGTGTCAAGGTAAAGCAAACAAAAAAATCAAGGTCAGGGAATTTTCTACAAAGTCGTGAAAATCTCTTATTGGTATGTTCAAAATTATATTTTCCTTGCGCACAAGATCCCGTGTAATTTAGCTCAAAGACTTTGTAAATGAAGACAGGAATATTGATAGTTTGGAATAAAAGGGCCCAAGCAAATTTAAACGTGCATTGTTTACCACTTTTAATCACCACATAACATTACAACACTTTTGTGTCCTTTTCAAACTGTATTCATTGTGTAGCGATGTTCGCTTTTTATTTTCCTGCTTGGAGCAAAGGTCAAATCATTTCTGGTCACGCCCCCAGAAGCTGTAACACTATGGTTTGTTACTACAACGACTTTGTTACAGGACACCACTATTACTCCGCGAACTGTAATAATCGCCGCAAATTGCATTACTAACGCAAGATGCACTAAGAATCGCCCCAAAATGTAATAACATTTTTAACCCAAAATGTAATAATCTTTCAACGGAAAATGTAATTCCAACTTTCTAACGCATAATGCATAATTTGTTTCCTTCCCTATCAAACTCAGTTTTCATCCCCGTATATTAATAAAATTCTTTTTTGTAATTTTTTCTTAAATAAATATTGATCTGTAATATCTTGCTTCCCTTTACGTGAAGTGTGTATGATACTTTGTATACTTTTATTGGTCATCAACTGTCAGCTCCATGGACCTAGCATGAAATGGACGACGTTAACCCTTTATTAACATTTCTTGAAATTGACTGAAAATATAAGGATTGTATGTAGAGTACTCCTAGGAATCTTAACCAACAATACACGGAGGCAGCGGCTGCTACAAAATTGTCACTCTATAAGTAAAGCCGTGGCTTTTACAAACTTTTTCTCGCTTTTCCCACTTTCCGCCCGTTCAATTAGTGAAATGTTAGCATACTTTCTTTAAGCTTTGAATGAAAGTAGGCACTTCCTAGCACACGTCATAGTCGTGCAGTAGCGGCAAAAAATGCACGTACAAAGAAGCGTGATACATGACTGTGCATAAAAGTTTTTTTTTT